TGAAGAGCTCAGCTGAGGCAGTGCTGGATCACTCTGAGCCATCCTCTTCCCTGCTGTCATCCCAGCTGCCTAACACTGCAGGTAGCTGCTCTGCTTTGCCTGAGTATTTTCACGTATAAAATACCTGAGTATTTTTCGGCATTGTGGCCCATCACTATCAGTGTGTTGGATGTTCTGTGCACAATTTACAATAGGAGGAGACATTATTGTCCTTTCCAGGATGACAAGCAGTGCCCAGGAGGCTGTGGTCAGTGGCATCCCATAACCATCTTCTCAGACATCCAAGCCTGAGTGTCTCGTTTGTCCTCTCCTACTCCTGATGATTTTGGCTGGAGCCACCACACGGTCAGTCTTCTGTGTTACTTCCTGGTGCAATGAGTAAAGGATGCTTTGTGGAGTGTTGTTTTCCATGGACCTCAGGGCTTTGGAGGTCAGCTTCTACAATTTGCTCTTTCTGCAAATCAATAGCTCATATGTTTCCATTATTGTCACACCATTAAAATTCCCATGGTCCTTCAGCTCTGATCTCTGGCATGGATGCTGAGCATCTGTTGGATGACCTGTGACTACATGATATTGTTCTCATCCTTCTGTTTCTGCAGAATTTGAGGAATTTTGCAATTCCAACAGGAGTGTGGCTATAGCCACAGACGAGTTATTGCTGTGAGCAAATGAACAGTTCATGCACAATGAGAGCAGGTGCCTGCAGTAACCTTCTCCTTAGCTGGATGAGGTGGCATGGCACTCACAGGTTTGAGGCATGAGCAACAGGTCACCTGGGTCCTACCATGATGGTAATTTGGGACACTGACAAAACTTCTGAGTCAGGAAAGACAAATAAGCAAAGAATAGTGAGAACTTCATGTGTGCATCTCCACTTTGAAGGTCTCATGTAAATCTCCAGATCACATGGAAAATCTGGATCGCATCATTAAGAAGCACCTCTCCCCACCAGCTACAAAAGGTTTGGGGGCTCGCTATGGGCAGTCAGTGCACAATCAACTACTACATTAATTCTTTGAAACACCCAGCCATACTTCATTAGCATGACAAAATAGCTGGACAAGCCTGGACCACAACAGCTCCATCTGATCTAAATCTCCCCTCTTTCAGCTTTTAAGCCATTCCCCCTTGTCTTGTCCCTATAGGCCCTTGTCCAAAGCCCCTCTCCAGGTTTCTTGTAGCCCCTTTAGGCACTGGAAGCTGCTCCAAGGTCTTCCCTTAAGGAGCCTTCTCTTCTCCAGGCTGAACCCGCCCAGCTCTCTCCGCCTGTCTTCC